AATTTAAACAATTTTAACGATTCGCTTGGCAAACTAGTCTTATATTTTCCAAAAAATTATTAAAATAATTACCAAAAATATATGTTTTGGAAAACAAAATCGCACTAAAAGCTTGTCCAACCAACTCCAGTTGTTTATTCTGTACATAGCAACATCGTAAAGTATTTGATGTGAAAATGGTTCATAATGTAAAAAGCAAATGTGTATATGTATATGTCTGATATTGTTATTTAAAACTTTTTAGAGATAATATCTTCGGCTACGACCAAGGATAGTTTTGTCGCTTTCGTTTATTGTAAAACTAGCAGTACGTATGAGTAAGACAGTCGTATGAGTGATTCCGTTGTTAAATTAAAGCCAGTTAGTCAGTCAAAACATAGAACCTGGTACATATGTATATCTGTTCAAGTTGCTGTACTCCATTAGCATGCCGAGATGAAATTGTCAGGTCAAATTCCAAAATAGTAGAATTTGTAACAGTATCAGTAGTGATTAGAAAGATTAGGCGTCGAATATCTGATTCAAAAAATATAAGTTGGTGAAATAAAAACAAAAGTTGTGAGAAGTTCAGAAGCTCAGAATTTCGTGAGAGACAAAGAATGGATGCACCTGCTTTATTGCAGATAATTTTGAACAATGTCATCCAAAGTTTCTAATCATTGGTTACAATAATCACGTGAGCTCTAACCAGGTAGTCTGCACCTATTGATATGGCTAAGTTCAAGTGTCACTAACTCTATGGATTGGTGCCATATTTTGGTGTGGCCGCACCTTTCTTCCAGCCTACTACACCAAACAACATTAGCCGAGGTAGGGGTGGTTAGAAATATATGAAACATATCCCAGCCACCTCAAATGATGAAGATTTATTACCTCATCAATCGGTTTGGCATCCCTACGTACTATTCTATTCCTAACCCAAGCATTGCTTACTTATTTTATTTATTTATTTATTTAAACACATACATATTGGTATAAAAGGGCACCAGATACATATGCGCTACACAAAACAATGAAAATAGGAAGAGAAAGGATGAAAAGATAAGGGGGACTGGAATGTACAACCAGAAGACTCTTTCAGCTAAGAAAGTTAGAACCACTCTTTATGAGGAAAGTAAAAGAAGGTTACAGCAGGATCGCCACTGGCTTCTATCCTGAGCCATATCTAATAACGTCTCTAGCCACTGTGTTGCACCATCTCTCGGACCCCAACCAGGGAGTCGTGAAGGACCAACAGAAGCTAGCTCTTTGCAACTTTCTTTCATGCCACGACACCATGTCATACACTGACCTTCTCTCCGCTTCTTCCAACCAGTCCCAGGGTCGGCAAATAATGCACGACGTGGAAGTCTCTGGGATGATATTCGTAAAACATGTCCAAGCCACCGAAGTCGGTGTTTCAAGATGATGACACCAATTGAATTGTCGTATCTGCTCCCAAACACACGCTACCGAACCTCTGCATTACTAACATGGTGTTGCCACTGTATGTCAGCAATCCTTCGGAGACAACGATGATCGAACACAGAGAGTCGTCTAACATCCTCAACTCGGAGAGGCCAGGTTTCACAAGCATAGAGCAAAACTGCTCTCACCGATGCGTTGTAGATCCGACCTTTTGCAGCCATACTAACATCACGAAGGCGCCAAAGATGGCCCAGATTGGCATAAGCCACTCTGGCTTTTATTATACGTGCATCGATCTTATCATTCACGCCACCATCAGCACTTATGTAGCTACCTAGATACACGAATTTCTCAACTACTTCAATCTGCTCACCATCTGGGGTGAGTACAGGATTGGAATCCTGCCAGTCTTGTAGGAGTACTTAGCACTTGGAGGGTGCAAAGCACATGCCGTACCTGCGGACACTGATTGCCAACTGATTCAGTGTGGATTGCATGCCTTGGGCATTATCGCACAGTAAGACAATATCATCCGCATACTCAAGGTCGAGAAGTCGTTCTCCAGGCAACATATCCACACCCCCATTACTTACATCCATCAGAGCTGTTTTCAGGATGTCGTCCATGGCAAAGTTGAAGAAGAATGGTGAGATCGGGCAACCCTGTCTAACCCCGCTGCTCGAATGGAACAAGGGAGAAAGGTGGTTGTATGCCCTCATTCTGCCTGAGGTGTTCGTATACAGGGCCTTTAAGATGTTAATGAACTTCTGAGGCACACCCTTCTTCAATAGACAATCCCAGAGAACAGTCCTGTCCAACGAATCGAAGGTAGCCCTGATATCAAGAAACACTACGATTGTTGGCCTGCGATAAGTATGACGGCGTTCTAACATTTGGCGGAGGGTGAAGGTATGATCAATGCATCCTCGACCAGAACAAAAACCATCCTTCTCCTCGCAAGTCAATCGTTCTCGGGTTTTAAACAACCTACGAAGAATGACAGAAACCAATAGTTTGGACGCAATCGGAAGTAGACTTATCCCCCGATAGTTGTTACAGAAACGACGTGAACCCTTTTTAAAGATAGGGACGACTATCGACTCATTCCATGATGTTGGAACACTTTCTTGCTCCCATACCTTTGTAAACAACATAGTCAATTCCTTAGTTCGAAAGTCACCACCATCTTTAAAAAGAGCTGGAGGTAAGTCATCTGGGCCCGGTGATTTGTAGCGCTGCAGGAGTTGGAGTTCCTTGCGGACTTCCGCCTCGTTTGATGAATCAGTCGTCACCGGCTATGGGGGGCAGGACAAACTGGTTGATGTCACCGGAGCAACAGGCCAATTGAACTGCCCTTCGAAAAGTTCCGCCCATCGTCCAAGACGTCGAGAGATGTTAGTGATTGGCATCCCATCATCCTCGTAGATTGTTTCACTCACACCAGACTTCTTGCTGCCATTGGCTTGGATGAGTTGGAAGAGCTTCCGGGAGTTACCAGATGCAACTGCTGCTTCCATCTCATTAGCACGCTCCGACCACCAGGCTTCTCGGTCCTTACGCAAACTTTGCCCAATTTCACTACGTAACAGTCTTCGTTTGTGGTCAAACTCACGGTCACCCGGAGTAGACCGACGGGCTTCCATCAGTTGTAAGGAGCAAGAAGAAACCCAGTGCTTATAAGCGGGACGTTTCACGAAGCCGCAAGCGGCTTTACTTGCCATTTTCATGGCGTCATGAAGTTGCAACTAATACTCATCTATACTTTTCGGTGGTGTGGTAGCTAGCCTAGAGGCTAGCTCCGCTCGATACTTACTTGCAACAGAAGTTGCAGCCAGTTTACTAACATCAATCCGTTGATGGCGGTCAATCCTTCGGCCACTAAAAAGTAAGGTAAGATTGGCGCAGACCAGGGCATGATCAGACTCCAGATAGGTACTCCAAAAGGAGCGGCAGTCTTGTACACAACCACGCCAGCGGTAGCTGATCGCGATGTGATCAACCTGAGTCCAGGCTTGAGATGCAGAGGGGAGACGCCATGTGGTACATCGACGATGACTGTGCTGGAAGTTAGTGCTAGCCAGAAACAGGTTGTAGTCTGTAGACGGTTGCAACGAACGGTCCCCGTCATCTGTCCTTAGACAAACAAGTCCCCATCGGCCACCTAAACGACTCTCTTCTGTGCCTAGACGCCCGACCTGTGCATTCAAGTCTTCGGTTAATACTACAATACCTGTCGAACGCGCTTTCTGGAGAAGAACAGTTAACTGGTGGTAGAACTCGTCCTTGATTGCATCCGGGCTGCAATCTGTCGGGGCATAGGCGGAGATGACGAAAAGACACCGTTTCTCGCGCCGATTTCTTCTCACTTTGTTGGAACTTTCTTATCTAAGAGCACATAACCGACTGTTAATGGAGATCGAATCGATTAGTGCTGCCTCAGCTCTAGCGCTTAGTGTGACACCAACGCCAGCAAGACCAGACGAAGATGCCACAGAGTCCCCGGATAAGCGCACGTGAAACAAGCTTTTCGAAGCGACAGATGGAGAACGAATTTGTAGTACTTCACTGGAGTCTTGAATACGGGTCTCGGATGGACAACTCCCCTATGTTGATCCTTCATATCCACCAAGATGTTTAAATCATCAAACATTCATTTTTCATCTTCTCAATTCCATAAAAGACATCTCTACCTGGAGAAGGTAGTGAGTAGAACTTTCCTGACAGTGGTTGTATACTTGTGGCCATGTGAGAGCATTTGTAGAGAATGAGTTGACTCTCCTTAACCTGGGCCGTACCAGGGTATAAATAGATCCAAACCTAGCAACTAAGCGTCCATTTTTATTGGGATCAACCTATGGGTGATATGGACGGTGCGAAAAGATTGGGACACACATTTTTTTCTCTTCGTCATCTCTGCCTATGTTCCCACTGATTGCAGCTCGGATAAGGTTAAAGATGAATTCTACATGGTGTTCTAGAGTAAAATTTTCCATTTTTGAAGAACAGGAATAAATCCCATTGTGTTTAGCTGACTTCATTTTGTCATCATCCAGATCAAATAGAATTATTTCAGTTATGCTTTGCAAGTTGATCAGTTATTCTCTGGGTGAGAAGTTAATTCGTGAAAAGTCGGGCATACAGAAGTCCACTTTTACAATGGTATTTTACCAAACGTAAATCTATTCCTTGAAGACGTACAATACAAATAAAAAAGGTAAGCAAAATAAAAATCTAGTTCTATAAAATAACACATCAATCCGTAAACTATAATAGAGTATTTTACTTAGTCATGAACCGCACAGAATTAATTTTATTATTGCCCCTGAATGCCTTAATACGGCCGAGGTTGGGGAGAGTCCGCTTTCCCTCTCGAGATGCTCTCGCATGATCACGTGTATACAGTCACTGTCTGGGAAGTCCTGCTTTGGTTTGGGCGCCTGGGCAGTATCCCAGCCCTCACACAAATGAATGACGAAGTCTGGCGCATATATATCTGGTGCTTCCCTGTACCATTGTTTGTGTTTAAATAAACAAATAAATTGTTATTATTTGTCACTCCTATGATACACTTTTCTTTATCTTCCATCTTTCAGGCACAAACTATACAGTGTATAAAAATTGTCGAAACACGTGACATATATTCAGGAGTATGGGCAAAGACAAGCGTGTTGTATATTTTTACGATCCAGATTGTGGGAATTTTCATTATGGTTAGTGTTCAATGTCGAAAAATTGAATTATTTCATGATGTCAATAGGACCGAATCATCCCATGAAACCACATAGACTTACACTAACTCATACCCTTGTGGTAAATTATAATCTGACAGATCGTATGAAGGTAGGAGAGATTTTTCTCGTTGTATTTTTAAATTATTTGTAATTTTGTTTTGATCATTAAGGTCTACAAACCATATCATGCCAGTATGAAGGATATGATATCATTTCATTCACAAGAATATATCGAATTCTTGCGTGATGTTACACCAACTAATGTGCATACATTTCCTAAAGAAAAATTATTAACCTATAATATTGGTGAAGATTGGTAGGTTTTTGTTTTATAATGACTTATATTTTAATAATTCCAATCTCATTGATTCTTTCTACAGTCCAATTTTCGATGGTATATATCGTTTTTCCTCTATTCACACTGGTGCATCACTTCAAGCTGCTAAATATTTGAATAATGGAGTATGCATAAAAATTTATCAAAAAAGTCATCTATTATAATTTATTCAATTTAGGTAACAGATATTGCAATCAATTGGTCAGGTGGACTTCATCATGCTAAGAAATTTGAAGTAATTTCTTGGTAATTTATGTCATTTTTGTCTTTTTAGGCGTCTGGATTTTGTTATGTGAATGATATTGTAATAGCCACATTAGAATTATTGAAATATAATCCACGTGTACTTTATATCGATATTGATGTTCATCATGGTGATGGAGTACAAGAAGCATTTTACCTCACGGATCGTGTAATGACAGTATCATTTCACCGTTATGGAAACATGTTTTTCCCTGGAACAGGTATTTTAAGCAGTTTTTTGTATCCATACTATCATTTATTTAAAACAACATGGTAATTTCAACATGGAATATACATCGTTTCAATTCCTCTAATCCCAGTTTTATAAATCATTGTTGAGCCATTCAACTTTACTAAGCTTGCAGTCAGTCAGTCAGCTTCAACGTAGGACCAGGCATATTTATGCATCGGTCCAAGTTGTCATGCCTCGTTAGCACAACAAGATGAACACTGGATGCATAGAAATAGTTAATTTAGTGGTGGTGGTAGTATATAAAAGATAGGTTGTATATAAGGATATAGTATAGGAAGGAAGAACGTTATGAAGCAATTTTAAGCCTGAGGTTTAAGGGAAGATAAAGAGTGTATACACCTACGCCATTGTGATCGGTTCTGAGCCAATGGTTGGAGACTCTAGGTGACATGGCTCAGAATCGATCACAATGGTGTAGGAGTATACACTCTTTATCTTCCCTTAAACCTCAGGCTTAAAATTGCTTCATAACGTTCTTCCTTCCTATACTATATCCTTATATAATATTATTATTTATTTATTTAAACACATATATATTGGTACAAAAGGGCACCAGGTACATATGCGCCACACAAAATAATGAAAGTAGGAAGAGAAGGGATGAAAAGATAAGGCGGACTGAAATGTACAACCAGAAGACTCTTTCAGTTAAGAAAGTTAGAACCATTCTTTATGTAGAAAGTAAAAGAAGGTTACAGCAGGATCGCCACTGGCTTCTATTCTGATCCATATCTGATAACGTCTCTAGCCACTGTGTTGCACCATCTCTCGGACCCCAGCCAGGGAGTCGTGAAGGACCAACAGAAGCTAGCTCTTTGCAACTTTCTTTCATGCCACGACACCATGTCATACACTGACCTCCTCTCCGCTTCTTCCAACCAGTCCCAGGGTCGGCAAATAATGCACGACGTGGAAGTCTCTGGGATGATATTCGTAAAACATGTCCAAGCCACCGAAGTCGGTGTTTCAAGATGGTGACACCAATTGAATTATCGTCTCTGCGCCCGAACACTTGATGCCGAAGGAAGAACGTTATAAAGCAAGCTTGCAATTACCCTTCATCCTAATACAATGTATTCAATGGTTTCTGACTAATATTTATCAGTTCATGGTTCCATTCAGTCATATCTTTAGCTGACCAATTAAATATTTTAATCTTCAAATGGTTCTTGAATTTTTACCAACTACACATTTTTTCATAAGTTATTAAGTATATAATGGTAATAATTTTATCTGTAGGTCGGTTGAAAAATATTTTGGTGATATATCCAGCCATTTGAACGACACTCATAGGGATACACAATTTTTTCTTTTTCATGTTATAATCGAAAGATGTACTACATGAATGTATTTTCGTATATAACTGAATTAAGAGGAGAATAAGTAGATATTGTGTAATGTATTAGTTAAGTTACATTTGTTATGTAGGATAAAGCATCATGTTTCATATAGCTCTTCTGCGTGATTTTGTAGACTCCAACGCCTACAAATTTATACAGGTTTTAAAGGTAATTAATTTAATGCATGCTAGTATAGTGAGTTGCTTCTTTTCTTTCTTTATTTAAACACATAAATCTTGGTACAAACGGGCACCAGATATATATGCGCCACACAAAAAATTGCCATTTCATTTAATTGTATGAGGACTATGATACTGCTCGGGTGCTCAGACCGAAACAGGTGGTTTTCTTAGGGGACCACACCCCGAGCCTTCGACCTAAAAATCTGATCCACAAGGCAGTGGAGCATCGTGATGAGATACAGTCCCATTGTAGCCGATGACCAACGATTGATTCACACGCCATTTGTTCCCTCAGGGTACTGTAGCTCATGTGCACCATTGGTTTGAAATGAGGGTTTTCCAACTCCCCTAGGTGGACTTTCCGTGTCCACCAACCCGGTTAAAGCGCCGGACATTCGCTTTTCGTCCTCTAAATTTCGTAAACAACAGTAGTGCCACGAGAAGGCAGTGAGTAGGACTTCATTGACAGAGGCTATATACGCGTGACCGTGTGAAAGCATTTCAAGAGAGAGGGCGGGCTCTCCCCACTCTCGGCCGTACCAGGGCATTTTCTTTTCTCGTACAAGGTGTATTATATCTCTACAAAATATTTTATAGATCATAAACTCTCATAAATCTTCATTAATAATCTAAAGTAACTCTAGTAAATTAACAGTATTAAATGAAGTTCAAGTTTAACCAAGTTAGCACTGGTATCTTTTCAGCAGTCAGCCTATAAAGGTTTCATTTCTTCATTTTGACTTATACTACCAACTGAAGAAGACTTATGGTTTAATTCAGTTGATTTTCCAAATTCTGCAAAAGCTATGTTGTCACACACATTAAACACTAATGAATTATATTTTTAAACCTAAGTGCTTTAAGTTTTAAATGAAATAATAAATGAATATAGCTATATTTTTGTGATAAAAAAATACTGACTACTGAAAACACTCTCAGCAATGTTTTGATGCTAGTATTTCGTTTTAGAAACAGCCATATATATCACTATTATCTAACATTAACAAAACATAAGTTTATAAGTTTAACACTAAACAAATCAACTAATTTGTCTATCGAATTGTTGCTGTGTAATGATTTATTGTTGAATAAAGATATATTAATCCTTAAAGTTTATACAAAACTATGTCTATTATTATGTGTAATATCTTTCTTTGTAAATGGGGCTAGTAATAGGCAGTAACAAATAGTTGTTAGAGGAACACTGCAAGTGACAGTTAACATTAAGAGCTCTTCAACATGGATTTCCCCATTGATTTATTGAACTCATAGGTGCGTTCCTTGAACTATGACAACACAACTACAGAGCACTCTCTTTATTCTACTATTTTACTATAATCAAGCTTTGATGCAAATTACTTTCATATTCAGATTTTTATTTCTTAAACCTTATTGTTTAGTTGTAGCATTTTAAAATGTTGCAACAAGTTAATGTTTTATTGAAGTGTCAGTAATTGAAAGTTCTACGTAGATTTAGAATTTATTGTAATATTGGAGGTGAATAGTCATTTAGTTTGCTTTTTACATTAGGTATTTCGAGTGTATAGGTGTTAATTAATTATCAAGGTTTGAATGAAGATGTCGGGGATTTTTCTATAAACAACTGAATGTTATGTCAGTTTGGTCGACTAGTGAAGTACTTCAGTCCTACTTATTCTTGTTTCCACTTATTTGCGTCCCAACCTGGACATTTCGGTAATCCATTACTACTAAGCAAAAAATTTCGTTAGGCTGAATCTACTTCCGTTCATAATCATTTGGAACCAGTGATACGACACCATAATGCATTAATCTTTATTGAACTACGTCATATCCCTGCAGCAAATGGTTTGATCGATCTTATTCAATCTTGTTAACAATCTAAAGGTATTCAATCACATCAAAACACTAGTATAAAAAATACCATTGAAAGGGCGGTTCAGTGGTCTATAGGTTGAATGTTCTCTGGAGACCGATGGTCCTAAGTTCGATTCTTGCGTGCAGGTTTGTGGATGCGCGCTGTTAAGGGATCCCATTGTAAGGGTTGGTACTATGTGAAGCCCACATAGGTTATTCTAGCCTTTAGACAGACCGATCTATTCATTCTCCTCAAGCCACACTTTCACTCTCTCACTTATCCGCTTATCAACCTCGACTGTTTTTTATATGATCGTATTTGTATTAATTACTTACCCTATTCATCACGTGTCTGTAACTTATTTTCGTTTGACTATAAATATCGAGTCACGCTTGATTAAATCTAATTGACTCACTTGCATTCTCCACTGTGCGTCATTTCGTTTCACTTCGCTCTCTCCTTTTCTGTTTCTCTGATCGTCCGTCTGGATCAACAATTTTATGAAGTATACGTATTTAAAATTCATTCTCGTATTTGACTTATTTAATTCCGTTATTCACTAATGCGATTTAAGTTGATGAAAATATACAAGGTTTGGCGACATGTATATTTCGATAACAATCGATCATAAGATCGATCTGGAGTCAGATAGTGGGCCACAAAAGTGGTGATCCCGTAGATAACATCGTCGTCCTATCTAAGTAGAGTCAGATACAGGGCCACACCTAAGCCATACTAAGACAAAATGATCGTCAAGTGCTTCCAAGTTTTCAATAATGGTCTAACATTGATCGGTTCATGATTTAAATGAAACTCAACGATCTCCACAACCCTATACTGATAAAAAATGTCTATTGCTCAGTAGTAGCTAATGATTAAAACAAAGTGTCCGAAATTTTTATGTGGATGAATCGCGATGAATCTTGGCTAGAAATATAATAAAAGGACAGTTATTATTAAGTACATAAGATTTGAATGTGTACGACAGTATTTATCTGGTTACCAATTTAAATATATTTGATTATGCTTATAATTATTGTGTCCATATCATCTAGTAATAAGCAACTTAGAACCTGGCATTTATATGCATCCGTCCAAGTTTTTTTTTACACTATATCAACATCGAGGTGAGATAACGATGGCGACTTGCTAGATTATTAAAAGTAGTAATTGTCAATGCTAGTAGAAAAGACTAGGCATGGTCCATATAATTCGAGAAGCTAAGATAGATTCATATAATACAAAATCTAAGATAATTAAGAAACTCAAATTGTAAAGGGAGATAAAGAGTAAATTCATATGCACCAGTGCGATATATATATATATATATATATATATATATATATATATGTTACCATGAGAATTAATTTATAGATAGGGTTGTATATAAAGAGTCCCTGGTGAGACAATCCTTGATTTTATTATTTTAAAATGTTTATAATCAACATTTCCAAGTGTTTAATAACTAATAGAAAAGCTTTGATTTCCAAAAAAAGGTATTTATGTTTATTTATTATAGAGATAAAGTGTTCGATAATGAACACTCAAGTAATCAATAACTAGAATAGAATCCCTTTTAATCAAATTAATATTGCTAATTAATTTTATCTTAATGCTATTTACTTTTATGAGAGATGTAATGAATATCAGTGTATTCACATACATAATACATTAGTATTAATGCTTGAAACTGTTAATTGTTGATCAAAATTACATACAAAAATGTAAACTTTATGGTAAATAAAAAAAGAAAGATTTACTAGACAACTACAAAAGTTAACTATGAAAGAAAGAATAAGTTAATCTTTTTTTGATGAAGTTTTGTTCTCTAAGCTGGATGGTTTGGTCGTGGAGCTTTCATCGTCCTTCTGAACGACGTCATCAGCAAAAACTTCGGATAGAAGTGAAGTGTTTGGATTTCTCCATATGTGGTGCACAGGACAAGCTGTGAACTACATGTAGAAAAATTCAAACACTTCACTTCTACCCGAATTTTTTTCTGATGATGTCGTTCAGAAGGACGATGAAAGCTCCACGACCAAACCATTCAGCTCAAAGAATAAAACTCCATCGAAATCATCCACCTGAGCTACAAATCTTCTCCACCATCTCAATAAGTTAATCTGTTTCAAAGTTTATCATAATCATCCATGTATGTAAGTGTAATAGTTCAGTAAGAACAATTAGACTAGTTGATAAGGTTTGTGAATTATCAAATAGCCTTCAGAAATTAACAATCACTGATTTAAATTAATTTTCAATTTTTCCAATTTAAATAAAAGTAATTCTTTTTCCTTTACCAATCACTATTCAGAAATTAAATGAACATTTATTAATGTTTATTGTAGAATACTAAATTCAAACAGGTGATCAGAATACATTTTAACCTTAGATAATAATATATTAATCAAATTATTACATTTTATTAGATAGACTGGTTGGTCCCGAGTTCGAATCTCGCGAGGCGGGATCGTGGATGTGCACTGCTGAGGAGTCCCACAATAGGACGAAAGGGCCTTCCAGGTTTTCCATTGTGGTCTAGCTTCAATCGACTCATGATTTCAACTATGAAAATACTGAAATCTCCACAAAACCCCTTCTGATTATTAGATTTGATTTTTACAGCTGTTCCGCTGATTAGTCTATGAACAAACAAAAAGTCATACGATAAAAATTTAATTTATACAGAGATCTCCAACGCAACTAACCACAACAGACAATACCCATGATGAGTATATGCTGTTATCTTTTTTATATTCAATTTAAAATGATCCACTTGAATGTTGTCAATTGCCAAAACTTGTTCTATACACAAAATAGACAACCGGTTGTTTTCTGTATAGAGTGTCAATGGTTCTATTTGTTCTACTGATATGTACATAACGAACAAGAGTGAAAAGTGCAGTAAAAATGAACAATTAAGCGGGTAACTATTATATTTCAAAAAGTCGTAACTTTCAACGCTTAGCAATAGTAGGTGAATGTATAAAGACCACCAAGGTCTAACTGATTCAAAGTGATAGGTGCTAGAGGACAATGTTACTAGTCGATTTTCTTGTTAGACCCATAACTAACTACCTTTGTAGCTCAATTCACATATTGACTGGACAGTCATATATTTCATCATCAGTTTCAATACTCTTCATATAAGTTTTATGTTAAAACAGGTGATTCATCCTGTACAAAGTTACAAATCTATGGTCTTGAAATTCTAAAATACGTTTCACATCAATTATGGGCGTTATAACCATATGTTGACCGCAAAAAAGAACGTCCATAATTCAGTTTATTTGCTTTCTGTATTTTTTTGATAGGTGATATGTACGAGATTGGAGCCAAAGCTGGGAAATACTACGCAGTGAATGTTCCTTTAAAAGAAGGCATTGATGACGACAGTAGGTGCAATTATCTTTTTCTCTATGTATATGTATACTTGCTATCTCCCTCGTTATAAACTTTTGATTAATGATTTTGTATGATTACCTAACATGTTAGTAAGATCTTTGTCTACTCACGTTCAGTGAACACTAATTTAAACATTTATTTATATAATGCTACTTCAATCTAATGTATCTTTGGAACTTTCCACAGTTTACTGGAAATATAGTAATACGGGAAACGTAATCTCCATCAGTAAATAACTAAGTAGTTATCCACACTTTTTATAGCGGCGAAAATGGATTTTCTTTGAAATGGATATAGTTTTTAATACAATTTGTTTATTTGACATGATGTTGCCGAATCTGTATATTCATATTGTAAGAAGCGGGGGCTTTGTGATCAAAATAGTTGGGTCTCACCGGTTAACTCTTAGGTTCGAACTTTCCATCACTAACTTCGGTTAGGGTAACCAGGTAATATCACTATTAGCCCTTGGACAAAACAGCAAATGAATTACATTGCTGTTTGAACGATCGTTTCATTAGCTGAGGTAAGTATTATAACATTGTGTTAACTGGGAATGATTAACAGAAAATGGTTTATTTCTATTTGTTTTTGTTGACTACTAGTATTTATGTAAAGATGTTGAAAATATTGTGTTACTTATCGAAAATTACTCCAGTTTATTCAAAACAATTTAGTTTTTGAGATCATGAACCAATCGATGTTAGACCACCATTAAAAACCTGGAAGCAATGGACAGCCGTATCGTCCTAGTAGGAGACTCCTGCTGAGATACTGCTTGGACGCCCAAACCGAAGCAGGTAGTTTTATTGAGGCCACACCCCAAGCCTTTGACCTAGAGACCTAATCCACAAGACAGTGGAGCAACGTTACGAGATACAGTCCTATAGTAGCTAATGACAGATAATAGTTTCATACGCCATTTGTTTCCTTGTGATCCAGGGTTCCATGTGTAGGATTGATTTGGAATCAGGGTTTTTGAACTCCCCTATGTTGGTCCTTCATATCCACCAAGATGGCTAGATCATCAAACATTCACTTTTCATCTTCTCAATTCCATAAAAGACATCTCTACCTGGAGAAGGTAGTGAGTAGAACTTTCCTGACAGTGGTTGTATACTTGTGGCCATGTGAGAGCATTTGTAGAGAATGAGTTGACTCTCCTCAATCTCGGCCGTGCCAGGGCATTCGGTGGTCTACCATCGGTCGGTTGATGATCTCGATTACAACTCAGCAATCTCCTCAACCCTATACTGGTGATTTATTTTTTTGTCGAATTTCAGTGTATTTCAGTGTTTTCCGAGCCGTTATAAATGACGTAGTTGCATTTTATCGACCAACAACTATTGTACTTCAATGTGGCGCTGATTCGCTTGGCTGTGATCGATTAGGTGTATTCAATCTGTCCATTAGAGGTCACGGGTAAGTTATGATTTTTAATTCTTTGTGACAAAAAAGTAAGTTGATTCAGTTTGGATAAACTAGTCTTTTTGACGAATATAACACCATTTTTGTTTATTGCCTTTATTGGCCGTGGTTTCCAAAGAATTTGTGCTTCATCCCTTAGCAATCGTGTATACGATTAGGTGAAAACATGGTATCAATGCAGAAATTATTTGGTAAATTTTGTTTTTTTTAGCTATGCTGAGTAGTTTTTGACGCGAAAACCGAACATGGTCAAAAAACGATATCATTGGTGTACTATTCAATTATTCCCGTACATAATATCTCTCCACCGTTTTTGTAGATCCAACATATAGTGATCAAAAAAGCAATCTTTTCTTTGAAGCCGTTGTTGGTTTTACTTACAGGTTTCGTTCTAATATAATTCATGAAGCACGTTAGCTGAGCATGTGCTTGAATCCAGAGCACTGGTTTCTCTGTTAGTTATGAAACCCACCTAAGCTCATGAACAAACCCCGTTCAATTTAATTCCACTAAATAACAAGTCAGCAACAATAAAGTAATCGATAAAACTATCTTAATCAGATCATTTAAACTATTAAATAAAATTCTACACAAGTAGTATGTCCGTAGTCGAGTGGATCACACATCTTGGATTTCACTACTAGATGTCACTAAATATAACTAATGTGCATATGGGCGATATCGAGATATTTGTAAGTAGAGTCTATCAGTGAGTCAGTTATAATCACGGTAGGGGTCTAACACGAATGTATGAAGCGTTCATGTTGTCACACATCAGGATAACTGCAGAGAATCTCATTGGTTACTATCTGCTTGCCTAAGGTAGGAACTCCAACCGATGTACATACGTGATATGTTGCTTATAAATGCTTGACCACTAGGATGTAGTTCAGTTTACAAATCCAGACTGTTCAATGGAGTCTTAACATAATAAACATAGGGGTTGGGAAAATATAGCTTCAAGTATATCGCACTTTTGCTGTTGAGGGAAAAAAAGTCCACCCAATCTACTTATTATAATATGCTGCGATATTTTCCGAAATGAAACAATAATAATAAGCAAGCTACATTGATTAGTTCAATGTTACTATTCATTGATCCGGCGGAAAATTTGTAAGGTGAATTTGTGCGCGTTAATCCGTTATTTGAAAATCAGTTACTTGAACCATGGAGCCGTACTTTCACAGTATTAAAGAAAATAATTGGCCTACATGGTGTTATTATTCCATTAAGTTCTGTATGACCATTCCGAATGTGCTTGTTTCTCACCTTTGTTCCTCAGGAGATGTGTTCGAATGGTTAAAGAACTTGGTCTACCATTATTGGTCGTTGGCGGTGGCGGTTATACTGTACGGAACGTAGCACGCTGTTGGGCATATGAAACAGCTGTACTACTTGATCAAGAGAAAGAAATTTCCAATGAATTACCTTATTCCCCGTACATTGAATTCTTTTATCCTGATTATACATTACATCCAGACTTGACAACTAAGTTGGATAATGCGAACACACGGCAAGTAAGTTAATTCTGATTTGTGGTTGATATCATGGGCTGACTCTAAAATAATACCTCTTAAATTGAAGAAGCATTAGAAAATCATTAAAACCCAAAAAGTACCGGAAAGTTGTTTTGTACTAGCTTGGGACTCCTCAGGAATACACATTTGCAATCTCGACATGGATCGAACCAATAACCTTCAGGTCTTCCGGCAAGTGCATAAACTTCAAATCAGAGTTGGGATCAAATGATTTACATTTCTAACTTTAGCTTAGCCAAAGCATTGCACGACCATACACAGACATCAGCGATGTCTGTCTCATGTCCAATATGAAGGTTAGAGGCTTGCTGCGAGGCTAAACGGCTATGCTTACAATTCCTGTTCGGTTCATAAATATGCATTACTTAAGAGTCCCATACTAGGATGGGAAAGTTCTCCAGTACTTTCTGGTTTTCAATGATCGTCAATCCGTGATTTCAACCACAAATTAAACAATCTCTACCGACACCATTGAACAATTTTGTTCCAGCCACATCATTTTGGGACTGATAGTTTCTTTCGTATTATACATATTACGTATGGTCGTTGAACACTTAAGACTTTGACCCTTGGCATTGTTTCTAGGATCTCAAAACTCCCACAAAACCTGAAACACGAGGAAATTAAGAGGTAATAATACAGCCAAAGGATTGTTTTAGGTCTGAAAATGACAACGATGTCCTTAGATTGTCTTGAAAATCTCACAAATTGGCAGTGGTTTGTGCATCGGTTCAACCAAACTAAGAAGACACTTTTAACATATCTTAGTTTTGGCACAACTTAACATTAAGCTACTGATAGGTGGTAGATCAACTGGGGAGAAAACTAAGCTGGTAACATGTACCCTACTCGTAATTAAAATATGGTTAATTCACAATGGACTAACATCAGTTAGAATGCTATCGAGAACCAGAAAACACTGGTTTATCCAAAATTAAGGTTCTCACAGTTAGAATTGAAAGTTTTTGGATCGAATAGTGGGGCGGGATAGAGGGAGGGCAACACCGTTAAGATGTCTCACACTAAGATGAAACAGTTGTTCAATAAGTTATCCTTAGTTCTTAATGATGTTGTAACTGATGTTAATCGGTAATGAATACCAGTTACAAATTAAACTAATCTCCACCAAATCGCCGATCAACATATAACTAATTTTTTTAAAACACAAATCGACCAGGTAGCGATTGTCATAAATTCTGATGTAATTAAGATCTGTCCTTATAAATGAGATTCTGAATTGAGGTACAGATTACGGATACTTATTTCAATAATTCTAATAGAATATATTTTACATACTAAAGTGAAATCAACCAACTAGTTTTCTCTTCACGATAACTTTTTAATATTCCAATATATAGTGGACAAATATCCTTCCATGGATCCTCTTTATAAGACATATTTACTAGTCAGCAACTTTAATATATTAACAAGATTTATTTCCATAAAGTCAAATTATGGGTATTTCAAATAGATCTTAACATAGTGTTGGACGTGACTCACTATCATTGTTTTAGTTTAATTTTATGAAGCTTACATCAAGTTATTATTGATGAATTCTTTCGTTGTAGTATATTGAAGCGCTACGAATGACAGTTCATGATAATTTAAAACAACTTGTACATGCTCCAAGTGTTCAATTTACTGATGTACCGAATGATTATCTATCGAACTTTTGTAATGATTCGAATGATGAACGGTAAGAATTTACATCTATATCTATCTATAAATGTACATGGTTTGTCCAATAAATATGCGAACTGGACTACTTAGGTAGTAAGTACAATAATTGTAGGTCCTTAAGTAGAAATTCAACGGTGCATGTTTCTAACTCCACCCATAATCTTAAATGTTAAAAAATTCAATTCCCTATTTTTTTCACATGTAAGTAGACTGTTAATACGCTATGAAACGCTCAATCATTATTTTGGTGAATTAACAAATGACTACTGATGAATTCCATACAAATATTGAATGAATTTCGTTGAAACGCAGTTTACTAACCGAGCGATAGAATATCGCCTGGATATATAGGTTGAATTGACCCTAAACAACATACAAGACCTGACATGGATATGCCCGTGTGTCATCGACCTACGATACCACATCTCATACCCATATGACGAGAAAAAAAAGTAAAAAGATGGCAGCACGGGGAAGTTGATAAATAATCCTCATTGGGTAGCTAAGTTTGTAGTAATATAGTTCAAAAGGAATGAAGAAAATTAATAAATGAAAAGTATAGTGATATTTGACCAGGTGGTCGAGTTTAAGCATATCACGTATCTATGTTCACATGCCGCCTCAAGATCAAGTAGGTGGGAAATTATGGGCGAGACACGCACATATTTTTCTTCAGTTTAGAAGACTAGATGTATGTATGCTAATTATTAGTATATTTATCCATTCAATTTCGCCAAATTCCACTCATTGGTCATTCCTCTCACATAGCTGACTTGAGCAAGCGTGTCGGAGGCTTGTCTGAACTAAACGTAGTGGATTGTAAAAATGCTAAACTCAAGGTATATCGAAAGCCAAAAAAAATTAGGAGCTGCACATGACTGCATAATGAACAATCAATATACAGTCATGTTATTTCAGTGTTCCATACCAGAGTTGATGAGTAAAAGTATTATTTATTTAAACACATAAATATTGGTACAAACAGGTAGTTTTCTTAGGGGATCACACCCCGAGCCTTTGATCTAAAGGTCTAACCCACAAGGCAGTGGAGCATCGTGAGGAGATGCAGTTACATGGTAGTCCGTGATCAACGATTGATTCATACGCCATTTGTTCCCTCAGGATGCTTGAGCCCATGTGCACCATTGGTTTGGAATCAGGGTTTTCCAACTCCCCTATGTGGACCGTTCATACCCAGCAACCCGGTTAGAGCGCCGGACATTCGCTTTTCGTCCTCTCAATTTTTTAAACAACACCCGTGGTGCGAGAAGGCAGCGAGTAGGACTTCCCTGTTAGAGGCTGTATACGCGTGGCCATATGAGAGCATTTCGAGAGGGAGAGCGGACTCTCCCCACTCTCGGTCGTACCAGGGCATTGTACTTAAACATTATTTTATATTATTGAAAAAGTTGCATAACTATGTGACCTATGAATCGTTTATCATCTCAAATTCGATGTTTTTTTATTTGTTTTACAGGGAAAAACCAAACGAAATGTTTGTTGAAGAAGAGCAAGACTCAACAGCTGCTTGATAACAATTGTTATTTTCACTTTAATTTTCTTTATCCGTCTCTTTTTTCTTATTACAAGCACATCGTTCTCAACACAAACCCTTACTCCAAATGATTAACAATAGTAGAAAAGACCACTTTTCTAAAGATTTAGGTTCAATAAAAAATATTCTTGTCTCAAATATGAAACATCGACAATTTTAATTATTGCTATGATTACCATTATCACATACCATGGAGAAGACATGATATCTCCGAAATACAAATTGTAATATGAAAAAAAAGAAAATTATGAAATCTACCAAAAAATTCAGTGTATGAAATGATGTTAATGGCAAATGTTGTATGTATTTATGTATGTATATTATTAATTATTGTTGTTCCAGCTTTTTTTTTAATTGTCCTTACCTTCTACGCGTATTTACATCGAGATATGTTAAAGAGAGAGAGGGGGGAGGGAGGGAAATCACTAGATAGTTGTGCTACTTACAATGATGTTATTTGGTATGTAATGGTAACTGTTTTCAATGTCAATTATGGTCGGGATAATGGGTATCGGTCATGAATTAGTATAATGATAGTAATAATGAAACAATGAACAGAATGTTGTTAGATTTAATTACATTTTTGACTTAAAATCGACCAGGAATTAAGAAAACATAACGAATAATTTAGCTTTCATAGAAATAAAAATATAAAAATGACAATTACTAAGTAATATTTAAAGCTGATTTTTCTGAAGTTAGCATTTGTCCAACAGATCTTGTACGTGTATGCTGATTTAAATTAAGTTCACATTGTAGTCGGCTTACTTTTGTAGTAATTGGTTTCAGTCTTGGCGGTGGTCGTACATGAAATGCATAAATTGAAGAGGATGATCCGGTGATGTTTGGATGATTTTTATTGCCTGTTAAATTGGTGAATTCTGATTTTTGCCTTAACAGGATAAATTTATTGCCGTCTACTTTAAACCAGTGATCATCATCTTTATCACCATTGTTCTCTAATGGTACACCCATAATCCATACAGGGCGTTCAGCATTCCATAACGCTGGTGGAATAGCGGGCAATGAAAAAATTGATGCATTTGTAATGATTGTTTGTCTACGATGTCTTTTCTCATTATTATCAACTTCCAATCTAGTATCACTGATGTTATTTAGACCAGAGAAGTCAGAAAATTCACGGACAGCTTCTTTGCTGAAACTTTTTAGTTTAGTTTTTTTCCGTGTTTTTGTCTAGGAAAACGAATTTAAACAAGGTATAAAAAACAATGAAATTATGATCTTCCAAAACAGATATATGGTGATAGGAAGTATAATGTAAAATTATAGTAACTATGATTTGTGGTATTATTGAGTGCAATAAAATGTTGATAAGACTACAAACCATTATTGAATAATGTTAATAAGGCGTATGTTGCAAACGCTTAGTTGCTGGCTTTTTATAGGATTAGGTTAAGCGGTATCTAATGATTATCAGAACAAAACATAGCATCAAACCATTAAGTTATTAACTGTGTGCTATGTTGGCAGGTGCGGAATTTTTTATTTAAACACTATTAGACAGTCATATTTAAGTAATGTTTTTAATAATTTTGGTCACCGTGGCACAGATATGCGCATTTTTTTATCATCCTTCACAGTTTGTTCTTTGATTCTACCCAATTTTAATGCTTGATTTTATTCTATCACTGGCAGCATGATTCCAAATCTTATGGTTTTTATGTTGCTTTTTCTGCCGACCCAATAGTTCTAATAGTCAAGCGTTTGCCACGAGACTTGGAATTCTTAGGTTTGATCTATGGCAGTCTTAGGAGTTCGCACTTCTGAGGACGTTCCATACTAGGATCAGAACACTTGTTTATTGCTCTGTGACTTTGTGGAGTGGTATCTCAATGGTTAAGACGTTTAACATCTAGTCACTAGATCGCAGTTATGGACCTTAACCCACCTTAGATTTCGCCAGCTAGGTGATATCAGTAATCCTTACATTTGGAGCGTGGCTCGAGGCCAAGTACATGAACCCCTACATCGTAAATCAGTTTCAAAAGAATTGTTTCCTTTCTCTGTGATAATGTGAATTGATACTCCCTTCTGTCAGGTTCTACGTCGTCAAGTAATTCACCCGAAGGAAACATTACAAACATATTACAGTAACGATGAATTCAACCATAATATATCAGTGGGGTTGCATTATGGTAGAAAAGTTAGTGAGTATTTTATACTCTAGATTGTGTATTGACGCTAATAATTCTCAAACATATTTACACAATTGATAAGTAAATGTTGCAAACTGCAGAATACACATAATCACATTTTGATCGGCACAATGTCAATTTGAATGTTATCGTTATTAATAAATAAGTAAATATTTGTTGGATTTGAATCAGAGAATGTCACTATTTACAACACATTTACAGAAAAAAACAGGAATAACACTGTAGGATACTTTGAGACAAATATCACTAATCGAAAAAGGTGATAACCGTGCATTATTGCGAATTATTATAAGTGAATATGTAAACCGACTCAGTAATCTAACAGTCAAGCGTTCTCTGAAAGATTAAAGGTTTTTGGCTCGATCTTCGGTAAAGTCATGGAAGCGCAATATTGGAATGTTCCATGTTGGAAAGAAACGACTGCCGAGTGCTTTCTGGTTTTCAATGGTGGTTTAGGTAAGAGCAACTTGTGATCTAAACTGAAAATAAACTTATAGGAGACAAATCTGCAATGCGCATGATTCCATTTTTACCTTCATTTGATGATGGTTTTTCCTATTTCTACCACTTGATTTTCTATGTATGCGACAAATAGTCCAACGATTTCTCATTCTGTTAACCAATGATTGTACCGGATTAATTATCGAATGTAAAGGTCTTTTAGTATGATGATGAGATATTGTAGAAATAGAAAGTTTTCTTGGTGAAGATTCTTCGCTATTCTCATCACAATTGTCATCATCATACAGTGTATCACATTTATCAATACTACCATTATTGCGTTTAACACAAGTTTTCTCATTTTCAATGTAAACAGGAAATACACTCCATTTGGAATAGATTCTCTGTAAATATTTCAATCCGTCAACTTCAGTATTGGTACTATTAACCGCCACATCTCCATTAATGGAATTATTATTCAGATTTTCTTCATCATTAGCAGCGAATAGTGTTGCACATGACAGAACATGATTTTGAGATTGTGTATTATTTATATTGATATTATTTTGTCGTTGAGAAATAACAGAAGTTTTATTATTTAATTCACAAGGTGATGAACTACTGACTGTCAGTGCTTGATTTTCTAATGATATGATTGATGGCTCTGTATGATGAATATCAATAGCTTTCTCATTTATACTCCCAATATTAATACTGTTTATATTAGAAACATTGGTGGTAGGGATAGTGTAAGTATTCAAGTTGAATAGACTAGCTTGACCATTGAATGGTGTTACGTTAGTCATATACGAGGTACAATTATTGTCGAATGTTGATATTTCAGAGTGTGTGCTAGGCTTATGGCGACTTGTTATTGTCTTGTTTGTAATAAGATGATATTTTTCGTTATTATTAATATTTTGTAAACCAGAGATTTTATTGCTTTGGTTAGTATTTTCTAATTTTGAAAATGCTGGACCATCCAACGAGTAACCGGCAGGTGTTGCAATTGATCGGTTTGTTTTTGCATGTTTAATTCTATCTGACCTTTTTTTGAAATAAACCATGATATAGAAGGTGAATACATGATACATAATTTAATAATATAGTATTAAAATAAGGAAACACGTACTGAACAAGTAGTGAAGCAGTCTATAACTATTAGACAGGAATAAATGGTACGATGTTCTCATTTCTTAATATGAAACTAAAACGGGTTAGTAGATGAATAGTTATGTATAGAAAATATTCATATAAGATATATTTGGAGAAGTCATTTTTATCCTAACGGTGTTTTGGTAAATTCCCTTCTACAATGTTAATGAATAAATCTCAACTTTGAGATTTCAAGAGGTACATTGATCAAGACAGGGTATTGCTTATATAATGAGAAAAACTTGTCAACAATCTGCTATTCACAGACCTTACATGGGTCTTAGATTTTAACGGAACCGTTCCTCTTGTGAACGACTGATGGAATCTAATCACATTGAATTGTCAGATTGGGTTTTCTACATCAGCGTCTTCAAAACCGATCAATGTAACGTCAGTTTAAATTTTCAGTTTACCCAATAGGCTGTAGATTTCAGCATCGCTCTGTCTACTTCGGTTAAGATAGAGGAGCAGTCCTAACAAGCAAATACTGTGATTTAGAGTACACGAACCTGAACTGATTGTTGTGGATTTATAATAGCTGAATACAACGCAGAAGTTACGGAAGTGATTCCAACTAGCAGTTGGAGTTATTTATTTAATTACACGATTGTTTGATTTGAGTTGTTATAAGACCTTCGTAAAATAACAATGCAAGCAATGCACAGTAAGTCTGTTTATAAGAATAAATAAGAGCGATGACAAAGCTAAGCATCGATCAGTCATAAGTAGAACCTGGAACACATGTATATCGGGTTAAGTTGCCACACCATATCAACATGAGACGAAATTACGAAGTTGAAACTTAAGGAAGTAGTAGTAGTATAAGATGTAGTAAGAAACATTACGCATGGAGAGCTAAGCATCGATCAGTCATAAGTAGAACCTGGAACACATGTATATCGGGTTAAGTTGCCACACCATATCAACATGAGACGAAATTACGAAGTTGAAACTTAAGGAAGTAGTAGTAGTATAAGATGTAGTAAGAAACATTACGCATGGAGAGTATGATTGTGCAAGAAAAGGTAAAGTTGCGGAATAAAATGTAAAAAATAATTCTAGGATATAGGATCTAAGGGAAGGGAAGGAATGAGCGGATTTACGTCTTCAACCAGTGATTGCGCGAACCTAAATTGGGTAGTTTGCACTGACCACCAACAATTAATAGCCTGATGCCCTTGTTGTTATTTGGTTTCCCTTAGCTTTCTTTTTACTTATTCCTACATCAGCCACTATTGAACACCGATGTGTAACATAACGTCAATTGGAATTGTGAGTTAATGGGTGATATTAATGATAAGACTCTACAAATCCAAATTGTCTGCCAAAATAAGATACATTCGCACTTTCGCAATGATCTACATACGCTGGTGTTATGCGAATATTTATACGTATAATAAGTGAAGTGATGTCCTACTTCTATCTTTCGTACGATCAAGTTGTTCGAGTTTCTCCATAAAACAGCGTAATTCACTAATTTTCACTGATGTAAACTAAAACTCGATTTGTAGGGATCAAATTGATTACGACATAATAGTTATGGACCCGTACATGAAAGAATGAAAAGCTTGTCTGGTGTTATTAATATTGGTAGCAATCACTTTTTTGAAAACTGGTTTTAAGTTTTCACCATGTATTGTGGTTTGTGTTCTATTTTGAAATCTAAGTATTTATTACATAAACTGAGTACCAACAACAATTCGATTTTCCCATTCAACCTAAACTTTATTAAACTTCCAGTTAAGTGATTATGAAATGTAATGTGAAAGGGAAATTACCTTGTTCGACGAACAGTAACAAAATCTGATAGTGATGCCGGTATATTTGAAGTGGTCTCTTTAATTTCCTGAATAGAAACCCGAGGAAGTAAATAAGACATAGTTGTAAAGGGCTTTTTCTGATTGCTAGTTGTGATACAGGTATCATCGGAATAGGAATTTTGAGCAGCACTAAAAACACTAGTAAGAGTAGTTGTTCGAATATCATCTGTGTTCGTAGTCAAGTATGTAGCAATTTTGTTATCATGGGTATTACTACTACCACGAAAATATAGTGTTTTGCCGGATAAAATATTGGGGAATTTATCAACAAACAATATATTTGGATACGAACTAGTTGAATAGTGGTATTTTTCACCGACAGGGTTCTTCCCAACTTCACCACCCTCAACACTGCCGAAATCAAGGTTGGAACTCGTTCTGTGCACAACTCCGACCACTTCAAATTTCTCCAAATCCAATGATCCAAGAGAAACAAATGTTTTTCTTGTTAAATCACCATTTGTAGTGAACACGTCAGGTATGGACAATGAGCTTGGAGCAGAAAGCTACATAAGTACACGAAAATAGTAAACATTACTTTTTAAATATATCACTCGGTATCATGATAAAAAGCAGTCATAAACACATTTATTGGAAAGCGATTGTTAGTCTCTAGGTTCCGTACATGTCGGAACTCAAGAGCTAATCGTTACTAGGACTTTGCATAAGGTATCATTTACGCACTTGATGTTCGTATATCTGTTCTAGGAACTTATGTGACATCATCTTACATAGAATTTCCAAGAAGCGAATATCGCTAGACACTGCATAGATGTGGTGGACACTTACGGTCCTAATTACATGTTTTCTGTGTATTATAAATTCGCCACTTCTATAAATATCTAAAACTAACCAATTTCAGATCGTGACTCATACTATTGTTCCAACAAATGTACAACCGTTTTATAAACTTGTAGTTTTATACATACATATACGGTTGCCTCCAAATGCCCTGGTATGGCCGATAGTGGGGAGAGTTAGCTATGTGAGAGCCAAATGAGAGCTCTCCGAATGCTCTCACATGGCTACGTGCATACAAACGCTATCAGGGAAGTCCTACTCACTGCCCTCTTGCACCACGGGTGTTGTTTACGAAATTGAGAGGACAAAAAGCGAATGTCTGGAGCTTTGACAGGCTTGGTGGACACAGAGGGTCCAACTAGGGGAGTTGGAAAAGCCTGAGTCTAAACCAATCGTGCACATGGGCTCCAGGATCCTGAGGGAACAAATGGAGTATGGACCGGTTATTGGTCACTGGCTATCACGGGACTGTATCTCCTGACGTTGCTCCACTACTTTGTGCATTAGACCTCTAGGTCAAAGGCTCTGGGTGTGGCCTCCCAAAGAAAACCACCTGCTTTAGTTTGGAGACCCAAGCAGTCTCCCGGCCCTCACACAAGTCGAATAATTTATGTGGCGCATATCTATTTAGTGCCTCCTTGTACCAATGTTTGTGTTTAAATAAAGAAATAAAGTAATACGATTGCGCAGCTTTGGAAAATAACTCATTTAAAACGATTCCTCTGATGAACTGATATTTTATAATCTAGTTATTATATTTGAACAGAATAATAGATTCTTTGGTGAATCTAATACTCTGCTTATGTTTGGGTAATAAGTAATGATAACAACAAAGATGGAATGAAATTGACTAGGGTGATCTTATGATTATTTCCCTCTACTAAACTTTACGGTTCATCATCACGTAATTGAAAAAGTAAAATAGTGACTTTAACCAATACACCTATCTGTTTTCAATAGCTTTAACACATTGCACCTCTTGCTGCAAGTGTTGTGTAGTTTGTTATGGTAGAAAACAAGATTCATATCGATGAAAAGATTCATTAATGATCCAAATTTACTAAAACCGTACATATCATGGAAGGCGTAGTTTTTATGTGTACTTAGCTCTTGTGGCAACTAAAAATCAAAACGAGAGCCAAGATGTGAATCGGGCAACATCGAGAAACACCGGTCACAAATTAGGAAGTAGTATATCAGCAATATTCTATTTACTATCGAATATCCAGTTTTTAGCTTTAATGCCGAAATGTATTGAGTTCAGAGAGTACTTAAGTAAAATAAAAAAGATGTAAGATTCACATTATCTTTCAGGATTATTTTTACTGATTTCCACAAATTTCCAGTTCCCGAAAATGGTTACTTCAATATAAGATATAGTTAGGCCTTCTGGTAAAGTATTAATAATACGATTGAGAATATAACAACCAATACGTGATGTGCAATATTTATGCATCCCATGATAAGTTAGAAACAGAAGACAGATAATTCCCAGTGGATTTAATAAAACTCAGGATATTTTGTATTACGAATTGGTTTTCATTAACCCAATACTTTTACCTATTGTAATCGAAGTCAAGTAGAATAGGTTTCCATGTATTAGATGTATATTGGATTACTCGGTCATTAGGATGCATTGAGTTAACATGAGATCGCATTGAAAATTTCAGGTCATCACGTCTATTTTCACAGATGAATATAGGTTATTTCAGGTTGTCACAGGATGAAAACCTCACTTATATCCTACTGAGTAACTAACTAATTATTCACTAAATAATCTAATATTTATACTTTCAGACTGGGCTTAAAGTGACTTTTTAGTTGTAGTGCTTGGATCCATTGAATCCATACTTATACATTATTTTAGAAGGATTAGTGTTATAATGGAAGATTTAAAGGTTTTATATCCTACTTCTTGATTGTTAAAGTGGAAGAGATAGAATCCTGTTTGATAGATGATGTGCAGTGGTAGATGCTCACGAGAGCGAACTATCGGTGTACGCCTCTGGATAATTTTATATGAAAGGCAGGATCACTAACAAGGATAGGATTTTTTCAAAAAATAAATACTCTAACACGAAACATTGACAGGAAAATGAACATGGTCAATTTCCATAAAGAATTGAACAAAATCAATTGTGTAGGACACTCTCTTAACTGTTGAGCCTAACTCCAGATGGTCATATTAACCGCATTTTAAAAATGCTTCTGAAGGGACAGTCTGAGAATATTTGGAGGTAGTGCGCAAAAAAGTATATTTTGAACTCATCAATAATGCATATCTATTTTGGTACATGTTGTTTACTTCTGTAATCAAAATCAACAATGTTACGAGAAAGTCTGTGTACAAGGAATTAAATAGTCAGGATTCCCGATTGTGATATACAACAAAAAGAGTTCAAGGTGTTGCTTATTCTATGGTTAAAGACACGTCTCGATCAATATTGCAGTCACTTTAGTCGGTAATGGATTTTATTTAATTTCCTTAAAAGCATAGTGATCTTAATCCATTTCTGATGTACAGAACTAACCAGTAATGATGTCCGAAGATAACATTTACCACCTGGAATCTAATAATCATACCTAATGAAGCGAAACATTGACCTCCAAAGTCAGAATAACGTCAATAAAAACATAACATTCGAATGGAAAACGAAGCACACACATATTACCTGATAGTTTGTATTGAAACTTTCATTTTCAGGACATAATTCTCCATCAGAGTAGTGAACACCATTCTTAAACGTACTTATCCTCTTCTTTCGTTTCTTCTTATGAACAGACCGAAGTTGTGTACAGTACATATAGCAAACATTTACTGAAACAACCAGAGAGCCAGTTATACATAGAACTGCATTAATTCTTAAAGCCAAATTGTTCAGTTTAATCAAGTTTGGTAGGAATCCCCATAATAATATACCACAAGATCCACTGATAGCACACAGCATACCAATAATGGTCCCAATTAAAAGGATTTTACTTATGTAAAGTCTGTTGTGCGGTGAACTGAATTCCGGTGGGCTTGATGAACACATATGTTATGATGTGAAATAATAGTTCGGTTGATTATAAGTTGCGGTAAAATATCAGACGGGTAAAACCATATAGATTAAAAGAATGTCAGCCAAAATTAATTCTAACCAAAACTAGGGTCATTTTGTTTGTGGTCATGCATGATTGGAAAAGCTGTTTGAAAATGAATGTGTTTTGTATTGATCCATATTATCTTACGTTACTTGCTCACCATGTTGACGAATCATATTGATGTAAATAAAGGCAGAAGAGATGAAAATGACTTACACACGATAAAAAGATGACTATTGAGCTGTGTGAAGTGCTTTCAAAAGTTTGCATAATCGTAAGTTTCTTCTTCAATAATCACTCACCTTATGTCTAAAACAAGGAACAAGACCATCGAAACCAATCAAAGTAAAATTAATACAAACTAGTCAACGACTTAGAAACATTCTATACAGAGTGACTAGTTGGAATATATACGACCTTTTAGTAACTATAATTGACCTGCCATAGTTATAATTTTTGTAGCTGCAGAGTGGAAGTATATCGACAATGAAGATTAAAAAAGAATACTGTATGGTGGAGGATAAAAATTAGTGCGGAAACAACCACAGGGTGGAGAGCGTACGTAAGCATTAAACTCCGATTCTACCTAGTATACAACAATAGCATATGCAGTTTCATCGCCCTTGTCAAAAAACCAAGATGTTTACCAATATTGTTAGATTTGTGCGAATAATTATGGTAGTAATAGCGATACGAAAGAACAGTAGTAAAATGATTATAACGGCTTTATTCGACAGTGAAAATTTCATTGCGGTAGAGGATTTCCAGCATTATTTGTGCAGTATTGCAAAAGCACATCTTAAATGTGTTTGAATTGCAATTATTTGAAATATATGTCATAAATATTCTAACAATTAGTACCCCGAACCTGTATATAACCATTGAAGTTTTTTCCCCAAGTTCAACTGCTACCCACCATATATAGTGTTTGCATTTCATTATACCTGTTACTCGTTTTATCCAAAAGATAAGTAAATAAGACGAACAAGCCATGAACATAGATGTTTGTGTACAAATCTCTCAGTAACTGGCATGCGAACGATTTATTATTTTGCATTGTGTGTATAAATTATTCATTTTAGATAAACCTAGAACAGGTAGATTAGCTTCAATGTTTATAGAATTTGAAAAATAGGTAGCCCAAACATTCTGTACGGGAACTAATAAATTGACGGCTGACACTTATTCTGTATACTGAATTCAGTGTGACTACCATAAGTATACAAATTTGTAACAGACATGCAGAACAGAAAAATAAGTTGAGTTTGTATCGTTATTTCAAATAGCCATAGCCATTGAACAGGAGTATAAAGAATAAAGAGGGCTAATTACCAGAAAGGCAAGGAGCTCTTACATACATTATATCACTACATTCTACTGAATTCAAATTAACAAGTATATATTAAGTTAAATTGCCTAAGTAACATGAGCGTAGCAATACAACTCGTGTTAGCGGCTATGTATTCCAATATCCAATATAGTTTCAAATTGTTTTGAATGGTTTTGGATGGGATAGAGGAATATTTTGCCTAACAGGTTTCTGTATTTAATAACAATGGATCATTGATGCCTCCAGGTAAGAAGCTACATATAATAATGGTAGAAGAGAAAAAAGTGTTATTAAATTTTAGCTACATGCTGACCATAGTCCTTAAGAATATTCCAAGTTTTCACCTAAAGAAATTTTCGTCAGTCACTTAGAATAGTTCAGCGGACAGCGAATTCCAACATTTACTTACTTTTAAGGATTAGGAGTTGTGTATACAGTCTGTTCTGTTGTGTTATGTCGCCGATTTCTCGGTATTGCCCCTAAGGTTTGTGTTGGGACTAAGCGTAAGTGGGTGTTTAAGGGAATGGCGAGAACATTTTAAGGTGCTGTAAGTCATTGAGTCACCTCTAAGACGCCTTTACTTCAATAAGTGAAGGTTCAGTAATTTTAGGCGCTCTTTATAAGACTTGAATTTGAGTCCCTCAACTGATTTCGTGGCTCGCCTTTGGATACGTTCCAGTGTTTCCATATCCTTTTGAGGGGAGGGAAAATTCTGAGGTTCTATACTCTAAATGGGGTCGAATAAAACTATTGAAGATAAGATGGAAAGTTCTTCCGTCGAACTGGACAAAAATGAGCTTCAACCTTACCAGTGCAATGTTCGCTCAGAAGGCACTTTTTTCTCAGCTAACATAAGACTTCGTGTCATAGCGTAACAACATTCGAATGATGTTCTAATTTGACAATTAGAGGCCAGTAACACCTTCTGTAATCGAAGCCCTTTTGGCCAAATAGAAATCAGAAGTCAGAAGGGAAGAGGTAGGAAAAATATATTTGATACGTTATCAATATATTGAGGAACTTTTAATCTAAGATGGCTAATGAACGTAGGAGCAGTGTCCCACGCCGAGTTGAAACGTGATCTGGTACGGATGCATGACCGAAAGCCTTCAGTTAAACAAGTCCACTTAAACAAAGTGGTCAGCATCCAATGTCGAACACTTAATGAACTATTGATTTTGGGGAATTATTTACAGCTACAGATCACTCCCCCCTAGTGAGGTAGTGATGCCTCTAAGACGTGACCAGCCAGAAGTTTAAACCCAACGAGTTTGTCGTTGGTAAACACTCTTCTGATAGCTTGCTTCGTTTAGCAGCGTCTGGTCGTCTTTCCTTATACTAAGGGACCAAAATGTACAACATAGCAATAAAAAAATAAAGTACAATTAAAATTTCGGTTCCTTGCGAAACTTCGTCGTTCTTTTTCAGCCGTCCTGGAAAAGAGGAAAAATAGAACATGTGAGTGCATGTCGAAAATACACTGGTACTGGCGTAAGGACACAAGATGAGCGAGAGAAAAAATCAATAAACTAATACACTTGCAAACATAGTAAAACCGATCGGGAAAAGAAATGGGTTTTTTATATAAACAAATATAAATAAGCTCAAAAAAATGAAAATGTTTTGTTTTTCGTTTTTTTTAATAAAATAAAAAAATGAGCATATTAAAAAAATATTTTTTATAATAAACAATGAAAAGGGAATTCGAGATAAAGCTTGTGTCCTACGTGCAGTAGTCGTTAAAATGTTCTGGAAATCTTACTCTTCTTCCAGAACGCGTTGTTTTAGGTTTATCTATCGACGTTGACGAAGAATCAAGTTGTGTGTCGGTTATCGTGTGGGGTACTATAGGTGTAGTAGCTGTGTCGTTTGCTTGTACCGAAGGAAAATCGATGTAGCTAGGGTTTCCTTCTAAGTACGCTGATTTGAGTCGATCGATACTGATGCTATCGTTCGTACCGTTCTTATCGACTACATAGTACTTAGGTTCGCGTTGAAGAACTTTGAAGGGTCCTCCGTATGCTGATTCGAGGGGTCGTCGATGTGAGTCTCGACGAACGAAGACGTGTGTACTATGTCGTAATTCGGGTTGAACGAAAACATCAGTTGATTGAAGTCGAGTGTGAGCAGGTTTAAATGAACGCATAGCGTTTATAAGCCTACTCGTGTAAGAGTTTGGATCCAAGTTCAATGAAGAAGCTGAAGGATCTACGAATTCTCCTGGAAGTCGTAGTGTCGTTCCATAAACGAGTTGAGATGCAATGTATCCAATGTCAGCTTTCACTGCATTGCGGATACCTAGCAAGACGAGTGGAAGAGCGTCTGTCCACTAAGAAACGTTTGAAGCTGATAATGAGGCTTTTAGTTGTCGATGAAAACGTTCTACCAACCCGTTTGCTTGTGGTTGGTAGGCGATCGTTCGTGGGCGCGTGATTCCTAATATTGAGGTCAGACAACGGAAAAGTCCAGATTCGAATTGGCGTCCGCGGTCTGTAGTGATGGTTGAAGGGCAGACGAATTTTGCTACCCATCGTTCGACGAAAGCGCGAGCCACTGTTTCAGCAGTAATGTCCTGAATCGGTACTGCTTCTGGTCATCGAGTAAAACGGTCTACGCATGTTAAGAGGTATGAGTATCCGTTGGAATCGAGTAAGGGTCCTACCAAATCTAGATGGACGTGGTCGAAACGAGCGTCAGGAGTTTTAAAAGAGCCTAAGGGACATTTGTTCTGTCTGATTACCTTAGATTTCTGACAGCATACACAGGAGCGTGCCCACTCCCTCACGTCTTTATTCATGCCAGGCCAGCAAAAGCGTTCGGCTATAAGTTTGACTGTTGCACGAGCACCTGGATAAGAAAGATTGTGCAACGTATTGAAGATGTTGCGGCGATAGTGTTTTGGTACAATTGGACGATCCCTACCTGTAGATGTGTCACAGAGTAAGGTTTCCTTACCTGTTCCCATCTGCTTAATACTTAGTTTTAGAGTTGTCGAGGATAACTCATGCTGAAGATCAATGTCTTCTTTTTGGAGCTGAGCGAGTTTAAGAAGGTCGATTCCTTGGAAACTGTTCAAAGAATTTATTCCATACAAAGCGACTACATTGTTTGCTCCAGAAATGTTTTGTATGTCTGAAGTAAACTGCGAAAGGTAGTCGAGTTGTCGAGACTCTCGCGATGAGTACTTATCTGAAGATGAAGTTAAAGAGAAGGTAAGAGGTTTGTGATCGGTAAAAAGCGTGAATTCTCTTCCTTCGATGGAATGTTGAAAATGTCGTACAGCACAATACATAGCTAGGAGTTCCCTACCGAACGTGCTGTACCTAGATTCCGCGTCTAGCAACCGTCTCGAGAAAAATCCTAAAGGTTGCCACGAGTTGTTAACCCATTGTTGTAAGACTGCTCCGATTGCTGAGTCGGATGCGTCGACTGCGATACTAATGGGCGCATGAGTTTCCTGATGCGCAAGCAGGGTTGCCTTAGCGATGTGTTCCTTAACTGTGGAGAATGTTTGACGAGCTGTGTCGTCTTGTAGGGTCACTGAATATCGAACAGATAATTGATTCTTGTCAAGGTCAAGGATAGTCAACGCGCACAAACCAATCGTACGCCATGGACTGGCCCACGCGGCAGTGGTTATTCTTTCACTTCTGTACTTCCGTAGTTGTACCTTAACTAATATATTCTTGTCATAACGTCCTTTGTGTTGTACAGTCTCCATAGCATCTATTATCCTTTGATGCGTCGATGGTTCAATCCACGTAAGGGCTGGTCGCGAGGTGTGACTTCAGCGTTAATTGGTTCGTCACCATTCTCGTTTAACTCTAGTAGGCCCCCAATCATTTTGACATAGATCATCAACGTAGATGGTCTTACACTGGTGAGCAAGACTTCGAATAACGCAACCTATCATGATCTTTTTTATTGCATTCTATACTTACAATTTTTCATTTTTAACTTCGTCTATCTTTATCAGTTTCTCTGAACATTCGTTGCTTCATATCACTGTTGATTAGTATTTCAACTGAAATAATTAGTTCAATCGATAGAACTAACCAATCAACTACGACTATAATGGACTATCGTGGTTCTTTAACAAGCATTAGCAGCATGTAAATGCTCATGTGTAATGTCTGTTAAAATATCAACCACTCGTAAGTATGGCCTCAAGGCAACACGTACGCATATCTGTTTGCAACTTATCCACTTGTATAACCGATACAGGATAAACTGCCGATTATTAAATTCATCTTTCTGCTTATTCACTGTCAACTAACTACTATCAAAAACTATCTACTAGAATATTTTACTTCCTTGACCACTGCCTGCCTAATTTTCAATTGCTGAGTTCCATGGCGAATCAGAGGATACAAATGCTAGAAATTTACTGTGAGTTTGAACTATAAATTTCCTGCAATGTTATATCTTGTTTAGACTGTTTCGCCAGGCAAGGCTACGTGTTTGGCTCAAATTAAATTTGGACGTATACCAATTCAGTCTACAACGCTTCGTTAATCTACGAATTTCATCAGCAGATTTCAATTACTTGGGAGCAAGAGTAATCCAGGCGAGTTTCATAACTGTGTTAAATAATTTCGTATAATGTTTATGATGTCTAAACATTTCGCGGCTACTTTCACTTAGACATGCATTCTGTCCCTGCCATCAAATTTTAGTCGAAACTATGTATATTTATGACTCGTAAGTCAACATACTCCGAAAAAAATTATTTTATGTACACGAGCAATCCTAGTCCATGTCTTAATGAGACACTTCGTCGTACTTGATGTCACTTAGAGCTAGATAATCTGCTTTATTTTTACGAAACGATCACGTTATCGAAACCTAAACTTTAGTTACATTGGTGGTTACCATTTACATTATTGTTTACTATGCGCTTTGTATTTGCTGTTATCTCACACAGTAAATCATGGCTCGATTTTCTTATTGCACGAAAGTCACTTTAATTCTGTCTTCGGCTTATTCACATGCAATACGGGTTTGGAAAATGTTTAAATGTCTTCTGAAATTCTCCACAAACCCCACGATAGTCTTCGTATATGTTTGCTACTGCACATCCAATTGCTACATAAACAATGCCCAAACGAACGTCCAGTACAATTGTCAGTATACGAAATGATGTTACTTC